TGATGTATTTTCAATCCACCTTGGGTCATAATATACTCAATCATATCTCATTACGCACGATTTTTTTCTTCTATTTCGGATTATAAATTTCTAAAAAATTTTTAATCCTTACAATAATGTCTTTTTACTTTAGTTTCGTAAAAGAAGTGCACAATAATAGTTTAAGTGTTTATTGATTGAATTTTGATTCATATCAGTTCACTACATTCCAAGTACCCTTTGATTTTCTACGATGATTTTGTGATTGGATTTTCTTGCTGAAAATTTAAAATAATAATATTTTCATCGTTAGAATAAATGCGATTTGATCCACGTGGGTAAAAGTATTGAGAATAATACTTTGATCCGTTCAATCATAAATTTTCAATGCGTTCCAGTTCATAATATCCAAGATTGTGTGACCTTGAGTACGATGCTATATCTTGGATCCATTTCAGGCAGTAAGATTCTAAAAAATATCTAAAGTGGTAAAAGAATTGTTGTCAAATTGACTTCGATAAAAAAGTTGTGAAGAAAACTTTACCAAGGATGATGATGTATTTTTTTAAATCCAGCTTGGGTCATAATACACTGAACAATATGTCATTAGGTACGACTTTTTTGTTCTATCTTCGGTTTCAATTTGAAATAAATTTTTAATCCTTATAATAATTTCCTTTTACTTTGGTTTCGTAAAAAAGTTCACAATAATAGTTTAAGCGTTTCTTGATTGAATTTTAATTCATGTCAATTCACTATATGCCAACTATTTTTTGATTTTCTACGATGAGTTTTTGATCGGATTTTCTTGCTGGAAATTTGAAATAATAATATTTTAATCGTTAGAATAAAAGCTGTTCCATCCATGTGGGTAAAAGTATTGATAATAATAGTTTGATGCATTTCGTCATAGATTTCCAATGCGTTCCAGTTCATAATATCCAAGATTCTGTGACTTTGAGTACGATGTTGTGTCTTGGATCCGTTTCAGGTGGTAAGATTCTGAAAAATAATTAAAGCGGTAAAAGAATTGTTTTCAAATTGACTTCGATAAAAAAGTTGTGAAGAAAACTTTACCAAGGATGATGATGTATTTTCAAACCACGTTGGGTCATAATATACTCAATAATATGTCATTAGGTACGATTTTTTGTTTTATCTTCGGTTTAAATTTGAAATAAATTTTTAACCCTTAGAATAATTTCTTTTTACGTTACTTTCGTAAAAAAGTTCACAAGAATAGTTTAAGTGTTTATTGATTAAATTTTAATTCATGAGTTCATTATATTCCAAGTGTTGTTTGATTTTGGGATATTATTAAGCGGTCAGTAAAATAAATGAAATGGTCAGGAAAATATATGAAATGATCAGTAAGATAAATGGTCAGTAAAAAATGTATAAATGATCAGTAAAAAGATTAAATGGTCAGTACTTAGATTATCACTCATATAAAAAAAACGATTGGAAAAAATCTGATTTTAATCGATTTTTTTGTGATTGAAAATCGATTAAAATGGGACAGTTTTAACCAGGTTTTTAATCAAACTAGTGATTAAAATAAATTAAATTTATAAATATCCATTTTAACCGATTAAAATTTTTTCATTGACTATTTTACTCAATTTTAGTCAGATTATTCGATTTTTAATCTATTAAAATCGATTTTAATCAATTCTAATAGTTTTTCTTTTTAAATGAATAAGTACCAATTGATATCGAGTCTTGAAGCATGGAATTTATGTCAAAGGTCGATCTAGCATCATATCTACTAATTTTCCGAGGCAAGGAGTCCGAAAAAGCGATCGATCATCTGAGTTTTCAACATAAAGTTTGAGAAAACGCATTTTACCGTCGCCGCCATTAAAATTAATATTTATAAATTTAATTTATTTTAATCACTGGTTTGAATTAAAAAATCGATTAAAATTAGATTTTTTCCAATCTTTTTTTTATATGAGTGATAGTCTAAGTACTGACCATTTAATCTTTTTACTGATCATTTATATACTTTTTACTGACCATTTATCTTACTGACCATTTCATCTATTTTACTGATCATTTAATTTATTTTACTGACCGCTTAAATAGTAGCCTTTGATTTTCTACGATGATTTTTTCATTGGATTTTCTTGCTGGAAATTTGAAATAATAATATTTTTGATTGTTAGACGAAATGCTGTTCCATCCACGTAGTAAAAGTATTAAGAATAATAGTTTGATCCATTTGATCATCCCATGTAATCACGAAACGCACGTTGGATGCGGCTAGATGCGTTTTCGCTGAAAATGACAGCGTTTTGACGCGTTTTTGTTGAAAATGCTGGCGTTCCGACGCGTTTTAGTGTTAAAGGATAATGAAAACGCGTCCAGTTCGAACGCGTTTAGAAAACGTTACGAGTTTATTAGCGTAAATTGAAATGACTGCGTACACACGCGTTTGATTCTCGTTCAAAACGCGTTGGCACGCATTCACATTTTTTTTGTGCGTTTAGAAGTATACTCAGTAATTAATGGAAGCTATTTATTCGCCAATAAACGCTTCCTAATTGACAGCGTCGTTAAAACGCGTTTCCATGAACACATCTACCATAGATTGAGGTTACCGATACGCGTTCGAACGCGTCATGTTTTCGAAATGCAACAGGATGCATAGTTATAACGTTAGTTTAGCAGGTATAGATAAGTAATGAAGAAAACTGTCTAGTCGAAAATGTGAATATCAATCGAGTGAGATGTATTTTTCTTCGAATGTTATGAAAATGAGAGAAACTATTAATGTTGTGGTATTGTACATAAAAATTAGAAACCATAAAAACTTGTATTTATTTCTACTACGCGGACATAAGAGTCTCTGCATTGATTCAGTTGAACAAAAATAATAAATGAACAATTCCTTATCATAGATGTCATAAGAATGGGGATTTCGGTCAGTTGATTTAAAGTTTCTGATTCATGACAACTATCATATCTATTTTCGTTATTCTTTTATGTATGCCAATTGAAAATCACATAATCGTTCTAATCCTATAAAATGTTGATCTCAATCATGGATATAAAAAAAATCTGTATGTCTATTTTTATTGAGCATAGAGTTATTCGACATTATCCTTTTCATTGTTGGATTCACAACGGTGATTTTCTATCTTTATAATTAAGATGTGACCTGCTTCAATTTGACTTGATAGACTAATCATATTAAATGAATCTTGCTTTCATAATCAATTCATATCAGCACACTTTTTATTGCTAATATAACTCTTAATAACAAATCTGATTTGTTCTACTTTAATTTCTAAAATATTTATTGATGCATATATGGTTGATTATTAATGATTGTAAAGTTTTCGTTATTAGTTTTAGTATTTCTTTTCTACATAAATAAATAAATTTCTAAGAACATGCTATTTTTATTTTGAACTATTTTATTTCATTTATCATGAAGATTCAACTAAATTGGGAAATCGAAAAAATATAAATCGTTTTGATTGTTTATCAAAAACATGAATAATCTTTTCAATAATTTCTTCAAATTTTATATACACATATGAGTTGAGCGGATCCAGATTACCAAAAAGAACGTTTTTGCAAGGTACAACATCTCCATTTATATTTATATCAAGATATGAGTCAATAGTGACTAACTGAACTTGACATAAGTACGAACATTGTTTAATACAATTAACACGAATAATATGACGTATAAAACCTAATCGTAATGTGTCATTAATAGTAAATAAAATACAAGAATCAGTAAAAGTAGATGTTTTATTATCAGATAATGTAGTAAATCGATTGGAACCAATCTAAAAAAGAAATTTGTCGTTTTCCATATTATATAATAAAAACTTACATGACAAGTTTTGAACAAATCAATTTTATTATTATTTATTGATTGTTGTATATGTTTTAAAGCAATAGAATCAGTATCACGAGTATGAACACGTACATGATGTTTAACAGTTTCTGATCGAGAATCAAATATAATCGTTCGTTTAGTTCTTTGCATGTTGTTCAAAAATTTATGCAAAGATAAATTGAAACCAGGTTGATCAAATGTAATGCATGCTTCACGAAGTACTCGAATATTGTTTTCAATTTCAGTACCATAGCGTCGAGTTGCATGAATTGAACCTGTTAATATTCCTTAAAATAAAGTTAAAAATATATATTTAGTTCTGTCATTTTATAATAATATGATGCTTTTACCTAAAAAACTTTCAAAATTAAAAGTACTATAATTACTACTTGAACCACATTCTTTCACACTAGCAGAAAAATGATGAAGACTGTGCACAGATTGTACATTATGTCGTGATGTATACAAAACAGAAAATAAACGAAGAAATTTTTCATATAATACTTGAATTAATTCAACTTGTTTTTGATTGATTGAACGTGATTCGATCAGATGAGTACCAATAACAAGAAGTAAAAAATGATTATAATATATTGTAGATAAACAAGATTTGAATGCCATAAAACCAAATAGTAATAAAGATCTATACTCGTTACCTTTGAACAAATGAAATTTAATAATTGACCGTGGCCTTCTTGTTATATTCGAAGGATATCTATAGTTCGACAAGTATTCATCCACTTGTTTTATCTTTTGGTACTGAGACCATGGTTGTTTACGATATTTCCGATCGAACCACAAATGTAATAATCGTTTCTACACATAGAAGACAAAAATATTAATGAATAGTAAAAGAATTCCGTAGAAAATTCTTGTAATTTTTGTACAATGACTTACCATAACACCGTGATACACGTTATGTAATGTATCTGACAAAAAACTATGCCCAACATCAAAATATTTAAGAGGTCTTAGTACACATGGTCCAACATGACCTCGCATCATATCACGTAATTCATCTTCATCAGCAGGTTTATCATTTTCATCGATATTAATAATTTCATCATGTGTAAAGTTTGATCGAAGACGAGGTTGAGTTTGTCTTTTCGGTAATAATGGAAATACTCGAATCTTGTGGTTTGACTCAACGTCAGTATAAACTGTTTCACCTAAAAATTATAAATACAAATATTTTCACATATGTTTTTATTAAAAAATTGCATTTATGAAATTTTCTTATATTCAAAGAATGTTTTATAAACTAAATTATAAAGTACTCTCATTCAATGTAATATTAACTTCCGTGATCATAAGTTTAGACAGACTAATTAATACATATATATATAATACGTTGTGTGTTTGCGCTAGATGAAAGGTTACGATTCATGGCTGAGTAATGCTACATAGTCTATAAAAGTATAAGAAACAAAAGCTATCTATATACATAATGTCGAGTGTCTATATGTCTCTTATTGGGTGAACAGCTAATGGTCTTAGGTCACACATTAGCAGAAAAAAAACAGCCGTGTAATATGCACCAGATCTTTCGATTTACACATATAATGATGCACACTAAACAGTGCTATTATTGAATATTCAAATAATTGGAGGATAACGCTGATTGCTAGATGTTTCGATTTGATAAAATTAGTTCATTTTGAGTTTTTAGAATGAAATTCTTGATGTTATCAGAAATAAGACTAAATCTTCTTCCATAATAAGAATGTTGAAAAAAATTTTGTTTTCAGAACAGTGTATTTTGAATAGTAAATGTTTATATCAACTAGCTGACAAAGAAAAAACTCACCGACCAATTCACATCTACCACATCCATATGCACCAATTGGTTCACCCAAGTTTTGAACGATGGCTTGAGCTGGTTTGTCTAAACAAGCTGCTAATAAGAAAATTCGAAGTGGTTCAAGATTATTATTCAATGCTTTTAAATTAAAATATCTTCCATATTCTAACTGCTGTAGTTCTTGTACAATCGGAGTAAGCATAATATACATTTGATCTCGTGATGGTTTATTTTTACCATATGATACACCAGCAGTTATGACATTTTTCATTTGGAATCTTTCATTTCGTTTTAATTCATTAATAACAAAACTAACAATCCATATGGATGTGTTCGAGCTTTTAGCTATCCGAACACCATCAATATTCATGAGTAATGAGATAAATTTTGTTCGTGATTGTTGTGATAAGATTCGATCATATGCTGCTGCATCAGTAATATCTTTCATATTATTGGTTGAGTATATAGATTGATCTTGACGTTCAAAATTTAAATGTTCTGTACGAGCAAGAATATTTCGAATTTGAGGTAATATAGGCATATATAAAAACTGTAAAGGAGCATTTTCAAAACATTTATGTTGACTACATACAATATTATCACATTTAATAGCATTTGTGCAAGTTTTATTGCACTCATTGCAAATATTCATCATAGTTGATTTTTCCTTTGATTCGGTTTCATGATGAAAAATACGAAAAATTCGAGAATAACTTTTTGGTACATTAGGTACTTTTAATGAACGTAAAAGATAACATATATGTTTAATACAAGTATTGGAAAGTTTATGACGTCCTTTTAGTAGAATCAAAGCCGCTGCAATCTCTTTTTCCTTAGGTGTAGCAGTTCTAAAAAAGAAAATGCTTCATAATTATAAATAACAACAGATAAATATCTACAATTTGCTTGAAACAAATTCATCAAGTTTAAATGTATCACTAGAATTATAATTGATATCTTCTTCATCCATGTTGAACCATTCATTTTCATCATCATTTTTACTTGAACTATTTAATCCTGATGAAGATAATGAATTTGTAGTAAGCACATGTTGTTGCACATTACTAAAAAGCATAAGAACAATAATAAAATTAAGCGTTTACATGAATAACTAGCGATATCGTTACTTTTGAGAACCTGATCTCTCATTTGTATCAATACATAGAACTTGCTGAAGTCTTTTCCGACGACGATATAAAGTTGACCGATGAACCATCTCGAAAATATCTAAGAAACGATATAATTTTTTTTTCTTTTATTTTCTAATCATTTATTTTATTCTTTTTGTTTTTTTGTATCTTGTTATAACAAAAACATAAATTTAACAAATACTTTTGAAAAATTAAAATTTATCGTTTTCGTCATCTGTAAGTTCTTCATCGTCAAAATCTTCTTCTTCGTCATCATTATCTTCATCAACACCTTCCTCTTCGTCGTCTTTTTCTTCTTGTTGTTGTTGTTGTTCACAGTTTGAAGAACGTGAACCTTCTTCATCATTAATATTATTCATTGGTGATTCACCTTGTTGACCTTCTATCAAATTCGAATTTTCGCCATTAATGAGTGACATTTGTTTCTTCAACTTATGAGCATAACTACGAAAAACTCCATTAATTGCTTCACAAAATGGTCGATGTTCAATTGAGCCATGTTCTTGTTCAACAAATGCTAAACAGAATCAAAGAACCATAATTAATATTGAATGATGAACTTTAAGCTATGAAGGAGTTTAATTTAGCAAGTTTTCGTTTATTGCCATTTAATTTTTATTTATTGAGAAAATGAATAACATTTTCTTTTGCTTTTCTGAACATATTATCGATAAATGAGGAAAGAACATATAAAAATAAAAGAGATCTAAGTGTTGACTTCTATTTAATTTACTGCATCTTCTCATGTTGATCAAGACAAGAGTTGTATAAAGAGTTAGATATAATATTTTTTAATTATAACATTTTCTTTCTGTGAATTAACTCTAATTATTTAAAATGTAACTTCAAACTTCAAGTGGAATCTTACCTTTAATTAATTTACGTTTTTGTCGAGATACAACATTTCCATGACCTTTTGCAAGTTGAGCTGGTGTATAAAGTAATTTAATGACTTGTCGAGTTGTATTTGTGGCAGTTTCTCGAATACATGAAGTCAATAATGATGATTTTTTAATTTTTAGTGCTCTAGCAATTTTATCAGTATTTAATCCTGGTGAATGTGGAGAAAGTATTTTCACAACGTGAATAAGCCATTGACGTCCTTCATCGCCAGGTATAGCTAGAAATATGACAATAGAAAGAAGTTTGAACTCAATCATCATAATAATACTTACGTAAACTTTTCTTTTTTAAACGTCGGTAAGCAAAAAGAAGTTTGTTATATTTTTTACTCAAAGTTTCATATTCAACTTTTTTTTTTATTGAATTCTTTTACAAAATATTCTTCATCTTCGTCAACTAAATCAATATCCATTTGATGTTTGTCATTATCATCTTTATGTTGATCGTCCCCATTACTACATGCATCACCTACACAAAATATATTTATATTAAAAGTTAATGAAAAAAAATATGGTAATTAAACATTTATAATTTAAGGTAATAATTTGCTATTATCTTAGAAACAGTTAATTACATGTTTCACTTTTTAAAGTAATGATATATATAACAAAAAAACCTTTTCAATGTCAAAATAAGTCATGTTATTTAAAAACATACGTGAAACAATACTGATTATTTTAAAAGCATAACATTTTCAGCAAGTATTCAGTAAATAATTACGATAGTATTTCTCTCAATAAATAGCATCTGAGAAATATATTAAAATTTGATTTATCCTACAATTTGTAACCAAATATAGTCAGTAGATGATCGCAATATTTGATCTATATTTGACTCGAAAATTTTGCATAACTCAAAGAATCTTGTAATAGAATGTGTTTTATTTACCTTCGTGACTTAATTTACGTTTTTTATTGGAATTTGTTGTTAATGTTTGTAATGATGTTAATGAACCTTGTTGTGTACGAATATTTTTTGGTGTGCACTTGTTGGAATTAATTGTTGAAGGTGTTTTCGTTGATGTTCCAATAGTAATAGTTGAATTACAAGTTGAAGAAGTACCAACAATTACTTTCTTTAACACTATTTGAAAAAAAATCATATTAATTTTTTTTATAAACAAAATTATTTGTTTTTAAATCGAAAATATTTAAAATTAGAATGTCACAGAAAATATCTTATGATAGTTATAGAAAAAATAACTCACTATGATCTAATGTTTTTTGATTTTTATCCGGTTGACTAGCAGGTATTTTCATTGTTAACATTGAAGCAGTAGTTGCTCGTTGAACAGATGTTTGTTTAGGTACTTTTTCAATTGAATGTGAACCAGCTTTAGTTGTAGAATTGTTGTTCTTATTCAACAATTTCTTATCTAGAATAAAAGATATTTTTTAAACAATAGTATAAATACAAGATCATACTCAATGGTTTTGCCGTTTTTATCTTACGAATATTTTGATTCTTGTTGGACTCATGTTTACTCAAGTCCTGTTTTGTTGTTGATTGACGTTGATGAAAATCTAAAGACCAAAAAAATATTTAAAGAATCTTTTAATACTCCACTGGCCTTTTGCTGTGGTTTTAACCTTTTTTTTGATTATTTCAACCGAAGATTCTTGATTACTTATATTTTCTTTATTTATTTCTAATTTTATACAAAAATAAAAAATAAGAATACCAAAAAATGTATTATTTGCTTTTGAATGTTTTTATAATATAGAAAGTTTACTAAACTCTATATTAATGATTAATCTTTTTTTCTGTTAATGCAAACTTTATATTTTAAGGAACATTTTCTGTTTAGAAAATAAATAAAAATGACTATTTTAATTGATAGTAAATCTCATATGTCTATCATATGGTATCATATGATTGAATAATAAAGATGAAAACAGAGACAAACTTTAACGCATTGAAATAAAACAACATGGGAAAGAAAAGAATTATCATTCTTTTGCTGTATAGAACGATTTGACATGTTTATCTTTCCTCCCGGACACTTTGACATATTACTCATCTGTATATGTGTAAAACATATGTTAATCATATTGACTATTCTATTTAACCTTTTTCATTGAACAAAAGTAATATATTGTGTAATTTTGAAATTTAAGGACAAAAAAAAAATTTTTGTACAATTTTTAACATATTATCAATGTAATAATTACCTTCATCATCAGCATGGTTATTTAATTCTTGTTCGTTTTCTTGTAATTCAGATGGATTATTTGTTTCATCTCTATCGCAAATTGAAGCATCATTTTCATCACCAATAGTTGAGAATATTTGTACTTGTTGAGCACAATCTTCTTCAGAGCCTAAAATAAATAAAAAAAAGAAATTATATTAGACATAATAAAAAGTGAGATATGTTGATGAACACTATAGAAGAATATTTGTTCCTAACCTTTACCATTTTGTGTTTCTAACGAAATAAATTATTTTCATCAATTTATTTTTATCTATTTATTTGTATCTACCTTAAGGGTGAAAAACTGAGTTTATTCAAATACTATAGTAGATATCAAAAACTGAGAAGATAATTTTAAAAAATAAATTTATTGTATATCTTCTTATATTAATCATAATCATAAAAAAAAAGTAATTTACTCACCAAATAAAAGAATTTTTCCTCTATTAGTACCACGACATTTTAAATCAATTTTATAAGTAACCAAATCATTCGATTTTAATGGTCGACCAAAGTTAACAAGATTTTTAACAGGTAATACGATGTATTTACTATCACTGTTATTATCAGCATTTGTTTGCATAATAACATGTGTATGATTAGCTTTTGTAATACATGATGATGTTGTAGAATCAGCAAAACTAGCTTTTGAACTGTATCGTTGCATTTTAAGAAATATCGATTTTGTTTAAAATAACAAAACAAACTGTTCTTGTGTTTATCTCCAAATAACGCAATAACGAATCGTTTTCAAAATGGTTTAGCCGTTAAAGCAATTGCTTATCTTTCAAAAAAAAAATGATTTAATGCATGGCATAAACATAAACAAATAACGAATCGTTAAAAATACGTTCAGATTGTTGAATTTGTTTTTTTTTTCTTTGAATTATCAAATCATAATTTAGAGGACAAAATTAATTTATTATAAATTTTCTTGTTCATTATTCTAAATTACATTAAAAATCATGATATTAGTAGATCGATTAAATGTGTTTTTTATTGATTCTAATTTAGGTTATTCAAAGTATATTGAATGTTTATTACCATTATTTGAGACAAAAAACATGAAAAAAAGAACGATTTTTTTTATTTAAATTTTAGTATTTTTTTGAGCTTATCATAAAAAAGTATCTTTTCGTTTTTGTATGAAATAAATTGATGCGTATTGAATATGTCAATATATATGTATCAAAATATTTATTATTTGAATTATAAAAAATAAAAAAATCGTTTAAATTAAGTTTTGAACGTTTTCTTTACATAGACTATAAACATTTAAAATATACATAAGATTATATAATCAAACGTAGGAGACTTAATATTATTCTGCATTTAGCTTATTAATTTTCAAAGCTGAGCAATATAGTTAATATTGATATTTTGATCAATTATTAAATTTAACTTGTACAATAATACAAAAAATATGCTTGATTAGCACAATTTTATTATTATATATTAATAAGAACATTAAAAATTGTACGTCAATTGACTGCTGAATTTCTATTATTTTAAAAAATCATCTTTTCAAATTTCATTAATATTATTTCTAAACTTTGCAAAAAAAAATTTGTCTAATAATTATGCTGACTTATTTCTGTTGTTCTTTAGTAGAAAACAGCAATGTTAATAGAACTATTTTATTTATATTTAAAGAGATAAAATTAAATAAGCATTTTGTCTACTTTTATAAAATAACAATTAATTCGAGTTCTTCATTTTTAGAAAATAAAGGTTTGTTAAAGGAAATTTTTTTCCAAAATAAAATGTGAGATTTTATTCTCTCCAAATATCTCAAAGGAAACCATATCATCATACATATTAAAATCTGTGTATGGAGAAGCTTTTCGTATGTCTTTTTATGATTCATTCTCATTCCAAATTACATTTTTATCTAGTTTTGAATAAACTTTTTTCATTGTTTAACTTTTCTAATTTTTTAAAAATAATGGTTTTAATTTTCTTTATTTTATACGAATAAATGTGTTATTTTGTTTTTTATTTTAAAAAATGAAAATCTTTTTATTCTAAAAAAATAAGCTTTTTTTATTTATTTTTATTTTATAAATATAAATATTTTACTTATGATTATTGTACGAAATACAGATAAATAATAATATCCACATTCTCAAATCTTATACTAAAGAGCGTAAAAAGGATTATTCATTTGATTCAACAACATAAAAACACTTTCGAGCCACGGATGGCTCAGAGCTAGTTGTGCTTGGTTCGCAATCAACTGGTCGCGTGTTCAAATCTCAGTTCAAGCTGTCGCTCAAAAAATTACCACTCTGTCGCTCGCAGGATTTGAGACTTATATCATAGCTCGCTATGGTGCGTCGGCTCGATTCCGATACAGGGTGATGGTTGTTTTTTAAATTTTTTGGGAATAATATAAACGCATCCAAACGCGCTTACCTCAAAACATGAGTCACAATGCATTCCAAATAACAGCATCACCTACACGCATCGTTGTCTATGTTTGAGTTTGTACGCGTTTCTATTTTCCGACGCACACCAATGACTTTTTATTAATAACCACACTAAGAAGCATCACATTTAGAAAACGCGTTTAAATGCGTCTTTAATTATGAACGCATCGTAACTGTTCTTAAATATAGGCGCCTTTCTACCATCCAGTTTGACACTGAATGCGTTTGAACGCCCAAAAATGTTGCATTTTAGATGAGTTCGAACGCGTCTTCATATGTAAACGAGTTCTGATACTTTTAGAATTTAAACCAGTGCAGATGCGTTTATTGAATGAAACGCGTTTGGACACCTCAAAATGTTGCATTTTGGATGCGTTCTAACGCGTCACGATATATTGCCAAAACGCTCAGAAACGCGTCACAAGCCATAAAAATGGTTACATGGGTATA